CTTATTATTTTTCTAAATTACTGTAAATGCAATGTCTTATCTCCCTAAAATGAATTTAGTCGCTTTAAGTATAAATTCTGTTTATGCATCGTTTTTCTTGAAACTCACGAATTCACTTCAAAGCATCTTTTTTTTAATATTAATATTCACGTTTTCAAAGTGATTTTAGGTTCTAATTCATCATAACTATTAATATTTATAGCCGCCAATATATTTGTTGGAGTGAGATAGGTAGATTAAATATATCCAATAGTTTGATTAAGTTCTAATTTATATTGTAGCTTTAAACTGCAAAATAACGAAGTAACGGTTTACAATATTAAAATGCGTGCCTGCAACGAACTTCACATCTTTTTTCAAAAAGAAAGTAAAAATAAGAAAAGTTTAAAAACATTATTATTTAGGTAAAGTGTTAATATGCATAAATTAATAACAACGTAATGAATACGTATTCCTTTAGCGTATAGTCCCGATATAATTATCCGGACGATCATCAGGACCAAAGGTACACAAGTGGAGAACACAATTTTTACCGCTTGTGTAACGTAAATTCTGACTTGAAACAAGCGGATCTAGCAAATCATATGAAAGTATGCTATGCAAGTGGAGAACACAATTTTTGCCGCTTGTGTAATATAAATATGACTGGAAACAAGAAAAAAACTTCTTATTTATAAATATAAATATATGTATACCCTATCGCACTGTGATTAAAGAAACCATTTTATAGCAAAATATCCGGGTATTTACATAACATGTTATTTTAATCGTAATATTGAGAAAGGAACTACTTTCAATTGTTATTATTATCAATTTATTCGCGTCTATAAAATTTGATTTTATATATAATATTTAAAAAAATACTTTGATGCCATGTCATATTCAAATAAACAACGACGAGGTCGTTACGCAACTAACGCATGTACTAATTGCCGAAAAAAACACATAAAGTGTTCCGAAGAAGCCACTTGCACCCATTGTGCATTACAAAATCTTAAATGTACTTATAGTAAACCGGTAAAAAAACGAGGACCGAAAGTATCAGCTAACGTTTTTGAGAGCAACTCCGATAAAGCCTCAAATATCGAGCATAAAAACACATTAATTCAATTTAGCGAACCCATTCCTTTCTGCCTTGACTATAACTATAACGAAGAATATCAAGCAATCCAAAATTATTTGTTCTCACATATTAATACCAATAACATTTTGCTCAATAATAACGCACCCGTTAATTTTTTTGGTAACACATTTTCTTTACCTAAAAATTTATCCCCTGATTCTTCTTCTATTGCTTCTAATTTAGATTATCTATTTTGAGATTAAGCTATTAATCACATCAATCTTATCAATATTTAATATCATTCTGCTTTTATGATTTTTTTCCTTTAAAAATGAATCGTTTTATTTAGCGATATATTAAAATAAAGAGTTACGAGAGCCAAAAATAGGGAATATTCTTATTATGTTTATATATTTAACTATGTAAGTACAAAAAAATCTGACATTCTAAAAGAATAAAACTATTAAATAAAAGAAAAAATATTCAGGTTCTACTCTAAAATCCTGATAGCCAAATCCTGATAACACATAATCCCGAATATATAATCCTGACAAAGAGAATCATGACAAGCCAAATTCTTGACAAACAATTTTTGGCAGACAAAATTCTACAAACAAAATCTTGACAAACAAAATCCCGCAGATAAAAATCTCAACAAACAATATCTTAACAAAATCCCAATAGACAAAATTTTGACATATCAAAATTTTGTTTGTTGGGATTTTGTCAGAATTTTGTCATCAGAATTTGCCTGTTGAGCTTTTTGTCTGTTGGGATTTTTGTTTTCATGATTTTTTCTGTCAGGATTTTGTTGTTAAACTTTTGTTTATCAGAATTTTGTTAGTATTTTGCTTATCAAGATTTTGGTTATCAAAATTTTGACTTAATAATGTTAGAATTATATATTGAAGATTATAGGTTATTAGAATTTTGGTTATTAAAATTTAAAATAGACCAAATATTCAGTATATGAAGTCTTTGTCTTAAAAATCACATTATAGAATATATAATTTATTATCTTATTTTCAAGACAAAGACCCTATATTTGAAAAAATATTATAATAAGAAAATATTTATTTAATTAACTAATTTATACAATCTATAGTATATATTTTCTGTATTATTTTTATTCTATCTTGTAATAAGCAAATTTTTTTTATAAACTCTAATAGATTAGCTTTGTATATATATATTAAAAAATTTTTAAGTAAAAATTTATATGTAGCAGTGGCTATATGGAGCCAGTTGATCACATAATTAGACTTTATATTAAATTTTATTTATATATTTATATTCTAAAAATTTATACTATACAAATTATTATACTAAAATTTTTTAATCTAA